GAATAACCCGTGGAACTGCATCACCTTGTCTAAGACCTTCCTATATTTAAACATTGCAGCTCTCACTAGCAGTCGCACAACGGCAAATCACGGAGACGAGGCTTCAATATCATTTTTCGGCTCCCTGGTTCCTCAGAGCATTCATTACAGATTTTGGGTAGGTGCAACTAAAAACTTTCTGGAAATCCAACAAACCGAGCAGAGGGGAAACATACTTTTTGCCTTTATGAACCACGTACTGTAACACCTGAACGCATGATAATAAACCCATTACTGAATTATGCATGCCAATCGGGTTGTGCAGAGTCCAGCTCCTCCTTAAATCTGCTAATCAGTACCCTGGAAAAGATTTTGCAGCAAACAGGCAACATAATGGTCTGCAAGTTATCACATTCTTTTTGCCTCCTTCATGCAGAGCAAACCCATTGATGGGGTAGCCAAGTAGAGAGAATTCTGATTTTCTAAGAATTCCTGTTTCATACGATATCACAGGAAACATAAATTCGAAAGAACTACAACAGCAACCAGAAGATTTCGGTTACATCCTACAATAACAAGGAAAAGCCATTGACAAAGGTTACTGTTAAAAAAAATCTCTACATTAAGTCATAGGGGAAATTATAGATACCGTTCGCAAAAGTAAACTTAGTCTGCTTTACTTGCTTGTTGTTGTATTCGATCTGGAAATTCTTGGCTGACTCTTGTGTAACGCGGCCGTTGAAATCTAGCTGGTAAACCTGAGCGGCGTCGTTCCACGCAGGCGTTTTGTTGCGTAAGGTGATCACCGGCAACGATGACTTGACAGACGGCGAGACGTTAGCGGAGCGAGCCTTGAAATGGACTCCACCGAACAGTGATTGGTCACGACTGGAGGCAGGAAAATTTAACAGGGAGCGGACTCGGCTGATCTAGATTAAACGCTGTTTCAATACAGGCGAAAAAACGACTACAAATGAAAGGCAAAAAATTAGCGAACGTTGGCAAATTCACAAGGCACAGTGAAATAGAAACTCTCTAGGAAATTCAACTTGCTAGTTCATTAAAGGAAGCATTATGAAACGAGGTTATAAAGTTCCGCAGCGATTCCGTAATAAAATGTAATGTTTTATGGCAAATCTGTCACTCGCACGAAAGGCGTCGCGTATTAAACCGTTGCGATCGTTCAAGTATAAA